ATGGAGAGTGCTCAATTCTGCCATCAAAGAGCAGAAAACATTTAGAACCTAACTCACTTCTCACTCCTGGCTCTTTCTTCTTTCTGCTTGTCTACAGTATCCATAAAATCCATGAACTGTGAGCAAGGCAAAATTCAGTGAGAAAATTAACTTCATCAGCTACAAACCTTTACATTTCTTATCTTTCTCTTCCTTTTAACAAAACCACTCTATTGGAAGCAAACTGGAAGTTTGATTCGTTTATTAGCACATCTGAATAAGGTCATCAGCTACAGGGACTCTGCATTCTGAGGTGTCAGATGGAAAAACAGATCTCTAGGTTTACACCACTTGGAAAATATCAAATCAATTGCAAAAGAAGAAACAAAAGCACAAATAACCAAAACTCCTCCAGAACCCAGAGTGAATATGTTCAGCAGGGATGTGTCTGTACTCATAAAGCCACTTGAATAACCTGGCTCAGAGGATGGACTCAATGTACTAAATCATTTTGTGTGCCTGCCCATAAAAATGCACATGCAACTTCAGGTGCACAGTAATACTGTCATTGAGTGTTCTGTGGGGACCTCAAGGGAAAGCAAAGGACTCCAGTGACCCCATTTGAACTGCCAAGATCTGCTGACCTGCTTGTTCTTCTCATCCTTCAGACTCAAAACCTCCTTGCTGAGGATGTTCACTTGGTTCTGGGCTTCACTCAGGATAGCCTCACGGTCTTGGTTGTGATCCAAGGCTTGTTCTGAAACAGAGAGAGCAGAAAAACATGCACAAGTTTCTAAAGCAAAAGAACAGCAAGCACTGCTGGAAGAGACAGCACTCAGGATGATCACTGGATATCAGAAACACCAGGACAGTTGCCCTTCTCAGGCTGGCCCGTCACAAGGTGGATGGGGTCAAAGAGATCAGTGTGTGTGGAGTAATCAACCCCCCAGCCTTAGGAAAGCTGTTAACTCTGCTCTGGGCAGGACAGTGACACAGGATGTGCTGCGTAAGCCACATCAAAACTTGGCTCATCAGAGGCAAACTATGAGCAAAAGTCTCAGGTTCTCCCACATTCACATGGCACATCATTCTCTAATAACTCAAATAATTTTTTTTTTTTTTTTTTTTTTTTTTTTCTTTTGCTGGTGAAAGTGACACTTCCAACTTGATTAGCCCTCACTAAAGGACTAGAGGAAGTGACATAGGACAATGTGGAAGTGCTGTTGAGAAAGGGAGGGAAAGAGGGCTAGCTCTCTCCCGGAGTAGCAAGTGCCCTATATCCCCCAGGTGCTGGACTGGGAAAGGAGTTAAGTGTTTCATTACTGTACACACATCACACTTACCCACAGCTTTCAGGATGTCACCAGGAACATTGTTCCCTGCCAGCTCCAGCTTCTTCAGGGTCTTGTTGCTATGCAAGCAGTTCAGCAAAGCTCGGCCACCCAGAAGCCCAATGTTATTCCATCGCAAATCTACACAGAAAGCAAACTTTCACCATGGCAGTCACATATCTGCTGAGAAACACAGGGCTCAAGAGAACCACCCATGCTCTTTATGTATCAACAAGTACAGTTAGCTAATCCCAGACGGTCCCAGCACAAACACAGGTGAATACTGTGGCCCCTTTCAAGATAAGTGAGAGGCAGAGAAAATGACAAAGCAGGAAAGGCACAGATAAATCTTTAGTAAACTGCAGTGTTGTGGTGTATTGTGCTTTGAATCCATGTTTGCCCCCTGTTCTCCTCCCTAATCCCCCTCCTTTCCCAGTGGCCAATTTTCCCAAGCCCTTCCCTAACCTCCTCCCTCCCAAGTTGTCAATCCTCCCTTATCCCTGCCCCTTTCTCCACAGAGTTTTGTGTCTGTCTTGTTGCCCTCAACAGCCCATTCATTACTTTGTATTATCCCCCCCTCCATTTTCCCTGATAGGCTCATAAGCTATTTGCCCCACCTTATATTCCTCCCTTACCATATCCTCACTGGTTCACTTTCCTACACCCCTACTCCTGAGCTGCTGTATAAAAACTTCTGTTCATCCCCCCCCCACCCCCAGTCCTGTCTGGGAGCCCAGGAATAGATCCGTCCTGTTCCACACCAAGACCCGTGTCATCGCTGTCTGTCCCTGCTCTGTCCCTGCTGATGACTGGGAATTGCAGAGCTCGCAGGGGGACAGTCGCGCCCCTGCCACAGCCGCCCAGCACAGCGCGTGCCACAACACTGCAGGAAGCCATGACAGTTGCAAATCTACAATAGTCTGTGTCTCACATTTGGCTCTCACGAGCCTTCCTTCCACAGACAGAATCTGTGGATGAGAAAGAATCAGCAGCAAAAGCCACATTCTCCTGAAATTCCATCAAAATTCTATATAAGGACAAAGCGAGTGTGACTTAAGTATCAAGAGTCTATCATGAGGCATGCCAACAGCAACCACAAATAAGAATCAGAACACTTCTGCCTCTACTAAAGACGGTTCTGCTCAAAGTACACAGTTCTTCATCTGCAGGTTTGCTTCCAGAGATTCCAGTTTCAGTTCCCACTCTCTAAAGGCCATGGGGTTGTGACCACTCCCTGCACAAAGGCAGCAAAGCACTCCAGACTGACACGAATTGGGAATGACACCGACCAGTTGGAAGAAATTGAGGCAAGAAACCTGAAGATACGTGTGTGCTTGCATGCATGTATGTATACATGGGCAAAGAACTCTTACCTAGCTCCTGAAGGCTGGTATTTTGCGTCAGTGCCATGGCCAGCTCTCCAGCTCCTTGATGGTTAATCTGGTTATTGCGCAGATCCAGATGCTGAAGAAAGTTGTTTGCTCTCAGTCCTTGGCAAAAAAAGGAGAAGCCCTCTTCCCACATGCCGAGGCTGTTCCACTCTAAGGTTAAGCTAAGGAAATCAGACAGGATTGGTGTTTCTGGAGTGTATGGACAACTGTGTGAACTCAAACGATACAAAGATCACAGTATACCTGGTCAAACACCCAGCTCTGAGAGCAGATTTGGTCTGTGAGCAGACTTGGCTTCAGAGAGCAGGATGCTGCCAGGGTCCAGCATCCTCCAAAAGAGCACCTCCCATTTTCATGCCTTTGCCTGTCCCACCCCTCACAAGAAATTGCACCACTTGGCTTTCCTCCTACCCCAACAAAAACACCCTCGACCCTTTTCAAATGCTGTGCTCCATCTGGCAGGAATAGCGCAAAGAGAGGTAGATATATTTTTTACCTCCTGATGGATTTGTTCTGCCTAAGAAGTTTTCCCAAAGCCTCAGCTCCCATGGTTCGCAGGTTATTTCCCTGAAACAGAAGCCCCATGTGATCAGTAGGCTAAACCTGTTCCAGTCCACCTAGACCACGAATACTACTCAACACATCCCAGCTGTAATACCAGTTTCAGTCAGGCAGAGACAGTCCAATCAACATTTGTTTCACATTATCAGTCAGCCTTTCACAAAATGAAAAACCCTCGAGGAACAGTGGATCCATACTGTACTCTTATGAGGGCACCATGACTGAGAGCTTGCAAAAATCACAAAATAGCCCAGGATCAGCATGGGCCACAATGGGACAGAAAACGGCGATTCTGGATAAGCGTAACTATTTTAACACGCTTCACACACTTAAGAACTCTATTAACACTAGCACAAATGAGTAAGAAAGTTATGATGCAGTTTCTGACTGTGGAAATAGCTGTATGCCAGAGGAATACATATAGAAAGTCACTCTCAGTAAAATCACATCTGAAGGCAGATGCTTAGTTCAAAGCACACGGTAGTCAAGACAGAAACACAAGTAGAACAGCTACTAACTCACGGATCAATACAGAAATCCCCAAAAAAGCCTACGTAAGCCTCATCTACCCAAGCAGTAACTGACAAAAAGGTATAGAGCAATAGCTTCTTATCAAAATAGAGTAACTGAATAAAAGTGGATAAAGATGATCTGCAAAGTTACTTCAGAAAATTGTGACATGGTGTTAACAAGTCAAGGAATGAGTCGCTTGAGAACAAAAAACTCACAGAAGTATGCATCTTTTTGAACAATCCTGCACCAGGACTGCCCAATTCTCTTTCTCATTAAGCCTGTGCTCCTTTTCCCTTCTCCACCATAGAACACTGTTAATTCTTTTCAAACAGACTCACCTTCAGATCCAAAGATTTGACTGTGGTGTTGGTGCAAAGACCATGCAACAAAAGTCTTACACCTGAGCAGAAAAAAAAAACCTGTTTATTTCATTTGTGAAACCCTCTCCCTAAACCGGCAGTACATCATCCCAGCGTACCATTCTGTTAAATAGACAGCTCAGAAGACGTGGCTGCGATAAACAAATTATTTTATGAACTTCCACTCCTGCTGGAAAGCTTCAGCCTGAGGTTTCAGGGCAGGAGACTGTTGATATATTCTCAAAAAACTGTCCGGGCAGAGAACTACCTGTCAGCTTGTACATCTACCTGACTCAGCCCTGAAAAAAGCCCACGTCTAGGGAGGCTCAGGGGACACGGACGTGCTTGCCCACGGAGCCCCCTAATTGCCGGCCACTTTAACAGGCCGGATTGTCTCGTCCGCCTACGGCCACAGAAGGAGAGCCGGCCTCGCCGCCGGAGGGAGAACCGAAGGGTGCGTGACCACCCGCACGGTCACGGACTGGGCACCTTCTCCGGCCCAAACACGAGCGACCTCCCGCCCCTCCGCCTCGCCCCGCCCGGCACCAGCGGGAGACCGGGCCCGCCGGCCGCGCTCCGGCAGCGCGCACCTTCCTCGCTCAAGCCGCAGTCGCCGAGCGCCAGAGCGGCGAAGGGCGCAGCACCGGGCAGCAGGCGGCCCAGCGCGCTGCACGTCGGCAGCGAGAGGCTCTGCGCCGCTAGGTCCAGGCGGCCCCGCGCCCCGGCGGGCTCCCGCAGGCGCCGCAGCACGGCCTCCTGCGGGGCCGCGCCCGCCGCCGCGCACAGCCGCGCGTAGGCGCGCCCGAACCGCTCCATGGCCGCGGCTGCCCCGGAACCGCTCGCTGGCCGCGCGCGCGCCCGCCCTGCGCGCCCCCGGGAGGCGGGCCCGGCCGCGCGCGGGACATGGCGGAGCGGGGCGGCTGTGCTGGCGGCTTCAGGAAGGTGCGGCGGCTCCGGGCGCGGGGCACCGCCCCGAGCGGCGGGCGCGGCCCCGGCCCCGGCTCCGCTCATCCGTTCCTCTCTCCGCACAGGACACCGTGGATCGGCTTCTCCGCCTCCATTTCCGGGACGCGAGGACCCGAGGTACCGGGGCGGCCGCGGGCGGCGGCGGGCCGTTCGGGCCGAGCCCCGCCTCCCCTAACCGCCTTGTCGTTGCAGTTAACGCCGACGCGCAGCTGCTGGTGGCCGAGTTGCTGAAGGTCTTCGTCCGAGGTGAGCGCGCAGGGCCACCCCCCATCCCAGCCTTAGAGCGACAGGCTTCCGGCTCCTTCCCGAGCACCCGGCCACCTTTCGGCTGCTCCCGTCCTGCTTCGGCTCTGCTGCCTCCTACACAGCTGGAGGTGTGACCCAGCTTGCCAAACTCATCCGGGGCGCTGGGCCGCCTCCCTCCTCCCAGGACACCAGCCCGGCGCCCCAGACGAGTCGCCCCAGGTGATAGCTCCCAGACCCCTCTCACTGCCCTTCCCTTTCTTTCACTTGGGCTGCAGAAGCAGCGGCACGGGCAGCGCGGCAGGCTCAGGCAGAGGACCTGAAGAAAGTGGATACTGAACACCTGGAGAAAGCATTGCCACAGCTGGTATGTAACTGTGCACCTGAACTGCATGGGAACAGAATGAGGACATGGGCTGAACAGCCTAATCCTCATCTTTTCGGGAGCTGTTTTGAGAATCCAACCTCTGTCCTGACTTGCTTGCTGCCCTTTTCTTGCAGCTCCTGGATTTCTAGAGGCCTCCTTGAAGCATATGTTGCCTGTCAGCAGACAGTCCTGACCTGAGGTATGTCTCAGCCTCAGAGACACCCTGGGACCAACAGTCTTAACTTTTTCTTCCTCTGCCATTTTGATTCTGTTTCCTCTCTCATTTACCAAGCACAACACAGCCCAAAGCAATTATGCTGTCAGATACTGTTTTTCAGAAGAGGGTGCCATAGGCTTATTTTGTTCAGCTGAATGCATAACTGGTGCATAACAATGTATCTTGCTGCCTTACTCCTGTAACAGAGGTCTGTATTTCATGTAGTAAGAAGCTGTTGCTTTCTCAGCTAACTTGAGAAAGAGGTGCTGCTTCACAGAGATGCATGGAAAGATGTAATGGCTGGAAATACCATCCAGCCCTCAGGCTCTCATTGGCTCAAGCAGGCAGCTGTAACAGCAGCTCCATGTGCAGCTCCAGCCTTCCTAATGAATAAGTCATTAACAGGAGCTTAGTCACAAGCAGGACTTGCCAAAGGCAGGTAACTGATCTTTATTTTATAAATAAACAGTGTCTGTCCCTCACTACCTTCCAGTATTTCTCGGGCTGTGACATCAGAGAATGCTTGAAACCTTCTAACCATTCAATATTCTCCTCAGAGGCTGTTCCCCCTCTGCTATAAATTTGTTCTCACAAAGAAACATCAGTAAGTTAAAAACAAATCTCCCTTCCTTGTGTAGGCTCTGCTGCAATTCATCATCAAAAGTCAAGTTGTTTCAAAGACTTACAGAGCTTCCCCCTCACCCACCCTATTCCCTAAATCTTTGTAGGACGAAATAACAAACAGCATGTGTGAGAATCCCACATCATGGGACAGCCTGGCCCCTCTGGCAGCAGGGTGGGGGTGGGGGCCACTGTGAAATAAGAAACCTTACACATGTGGACAGACCCACACAACCCAAGTGGCTTTGCTGGGAAATGCACGGCTGGCTGCACAGAGCGCAACTGAAGGCAGGCTCGCTGCAGGATCGGCCAGAGCGAGCAGTCCTTTTCTCAGGAAAGCTGTGACAGGCAGAGGCTCAGTGGGCCACTGCACTTTGAGCTAGGAGCTATCGGGGTCATCCCTCAGACACCAACCACTCAGAAACCTCACAAAAACTGCAGTTTCAGTACACTGGTGAAAGTACCAGCTTAAGCAGTCCTCGGCACCGCAGCTTCTCAGCTGAGACAGCTGTTCAGCTGTACAACACATGCAATGAAAGAACTAATTCAGTCTTCAGCCCCACAACCATTGGTAAATAAAAAGGCAATAGAAAAAAAAACAAAAAAAAAAAAAAAAAAAAAAAAGAAAAAAAAAAAAAAAAAAAAAAAAAAAACAAAACAAAACAAGTGATTCTACCTTTGAATGCCCTAAATGCCCTAAAACCACAAGGATGAGTTGATGGGTTCAGCTACTCTAGCAGAAGTGATACTGAAACAAAACCAGTTCATCATCAGGTAATTGCAGGTACCCTTGTAGCAAGTACCTTACTGGAGAGCCCACCATTTTAAATGAGGGGGTGTCCTGTCCCCCTTAAAGAATTCACTCCTACTTCCTTGCCTTTTCCAGATTTCAGGTCCTTGTCTACCTCCACCCTAACACCTACTGAAAGAGCAGTCCCAAAGTTGCTGCCCTAAAAAGGCTTGAGTTCCCTTCCCTGACACACAGAACTGTTCATGTGGACATCCACAATAAAGCAGCAATTGAATAGCAGCAGCAGCAGCTAAAAGTAACTCTTTGTATAGGGAAGGGGAATAAGACCTCTTGTCTAGCTATTGAAGGAAGGAATTTTTTCATTCTTGTGGTTAAACTAGGTTTGATGCACAGCTGAGTTACACCAGGGACAAGCATGGGCAGAACTGCCTGAGGGAACAGTCAGCAACATAAAGCCCTCACACTTAACCCATGAAACTGCCCCAAGAATACTGATACTGCTGCTTGTGTCCCTAAACTTTTTTATCCATGTCAGGTACTTGCAGGGGATAGCTATGGTCCTAACCCTTTACAAAAACTGACATAATTAGAGCAGCTAAGAAAATCAGTTAAGCAGATTATAATATTTGATGTCACCTGTGCTCTTCAAAAAATAAGGACTAGCACATCTGAAGGCACACTGCAACTTCCTCCCAACCACACTGCTTCTGCATATTCTAATCCTGGAAACCAAAAACACCAGCGCAAGTATTTCACCATCTATCATTAGCAACAGCTCCTGGTTCCCCCACAGGATATCTGTATAAATTCAGGATAACTGTATAAATTCAGCAAGGCAGCTCTAGCTACCATCTACCTCTGATTTGTGTAACATGAATAAGCCTGATATAGCACCTGAACCAAGATACCAACAGTGCTATGCAGCGGGGGCTCAGCCCATACTTAATTCACCAAAGAGTAATAAACTTTAAACTGTTTTTTTGTTTGCTACGGTATGTCTTTTATAGCCTATCAAGTGGCAGAAGGGCTTGCTTTTCCACAGAGAGGATTGAGTACAGGAGATGTACACAGTGCTTTCACATTCCCGCTGCCAGTGGCTGCACACGTTCCCTGTTCACATCCAGGTGTCATATAAGAAATCAATCCATTCTTTTGCTAAAGCATTCTGTGTTCCTTCTACTTTGAGACTCCTTCTTCCTCTTCCACCTTTCTTTCATGTCTCCCCCTCCCTCCAAGTTTCTTCAAAGCATCTGTGAGCATTTGGAAGTAATTAGACCTGAAGGGAAATGTTGGCCAGGCAGGGAGGCAATGACAAGTGCCAGGAACCCAGGGTGCCCTTTCTAGCCACTTTGAAGTTCATTCAGATGGTACAAAGCTCCATTTTGGGAGGAAGAGAACAAGGCATGACAGGCCAGCTGAAAAGAGAACAGATTCCTGAGAACTGACACACCAAGCGCCAGGGCAAGAAGTTATTAACAGGACTGACCAAAAGGGCCCCCGTGGCCACTCTGCTTTATTACATCTATAAATTGTGCAGATGCACATGTAGTGCAGGGAGGAAACAAGGAAAATGGAAAACATGGTATTACTGTACCATGGAACCCCGACTCTCCACAGATCACTGATCCACGGAGAAGACTTCAAACAAAACCCAGCACCATAACTCCCATGGTACAAGAGAGTTCATCTCCAGTATAAGGGCAATGCTAACCAATATTCATCCCCCAACGAGATCTGCAGGAGACAAAGATCTGGACTGGGCCTTTCCCCTGTACACTAACTACAGTGCAGAGCACACCTACCCTGCTCTGGGAATACTGAGGCAACCAATCAACTGTCATTTGAAGAGACCCTTCAACTGGATGTTTCTTCCCTTGCTGTAACTAATTACTGATGGTAATTATATACAGTGAAAATAAAAGTAGAGCTTAGGGCAGAAACAAGCTCAACAAGCATTCCATGAACAGATACCTGTGTTCCTTGTTAACAAGATTCTGGCAACTGAACACAATATGAGTGCAGCAGTCCAAGTGCTTCACAGGAAAGTTCACTGATCTCAACTGGTTTAAGTAACTGAAGTGCTTCCTCTTCATTTTCCAGCCATCTATGCCTGGAATTATCAGCAGCACTAACCCTAATACTAAGGGGCAGAGAGAAGTCTTGTTCTAGGCACCACTTAATAATTATAAGTAAAGCTGAACCAGATTGTATTTTGCTACTAGAATACAGGCTAGACTCAAGTGATCTCTGAAGGTGGAACTGAGAGGATTTGAATTTAAAAATATGGTTAGAAAAAAAGTCCTTTGCAGGAAGTATACAGGAATCATGTCCCCCTTAATTCTCTATTCTTATTATTTGCATGCAAGAAACCTTAAATTTAACCTCTAACCTTGCTTCTCTAGTCACAAAGACCACAAACAGGCCCTCCACTCCTCCACCAGCTGCAACTGGTATCTGAAATAGCCATTCTCTTTTTATAACTAATGTTCATACAGATTAGATCTCTCCAGGGTCACCAACACCTTTTGCACATTCTCAGTAAGTTCGTGGAGAAGAGGGCACAGCTGACAACTCAGTGATCCAGCAGCCCAGGATGCTTCATCTTTTTCCACCTACAAAATAAACACAACACCATTAAAACACTTAACATGTAATTATCACTTACTCACTTCTCAATAAAACAGTCTGGTGGCTGAGGGTTCTGGTCACTGCTGTGTTCAAGCAGCATTGGGGACCACAAGAGAGCATTTGGGGAGATGAAATGGTAAACACATCACAACTTTTCAAGCAGGGAACTTCATCCTTCACATTATTAATATACAGCTTAGAGCATATTATTAACCTTTCATAACAACTGTTAAATGGGAAACCTGCACAGGTAGGTGGGATAATATTTGGTACTTTATCCAAATAATCTTGGAAAATAAAACTATTTCAAGTGCAATGTTTCAAACATACTGGAAGTGGCAAACAGTGAAGATCCTGTTTCCCACTGCATCAGCATCTCAGCACCAATCTAATCCAAACCAGCCACAGCAGGGAAACACACTGACTCACTGTTCACACCTTACCCTCTGCTTGCTGGAACTGATAGCCCTTCACTGTCTTCCAGAAACTGATACTAAAATTCTCATCCATTAAGTCAACATTTGACATTATTAGCAGATCACTCCATATAAGAATTACTAGTTTTGCTTCTGTTAAGGGAGCAGACTGAGTATCTCTCTTTTTTGCCTCCCCACCCCCTTTCTCTCTCTTCCTCTACCCCCTTACCCCACCTCTGCCACTGCATCAAGAAGTGAATATTGTCAATTGTTTAATTTAGGAATTCCTTTTATAATCACTTCATATTCTGTATCAATTCTCGTCTAAAATACACACATAAGTCATTTGTTCTGGGACTAAAAAAAAAAGGTCACAGTTTTCTGTTCAGGATAAAATAAGAAAAAAATATAATAGACAATTGGTTGCAATCTTAATTATGGAAAACCGCTATTGGTTTGCAGTGAAGATTAAAAAAAGTAAGACCAACTAAAAAATTCAAGAGAAGTGAAAGTACTAAAACAGACTACAGCAGAAAAAGGAGAGTTATGCCAGAGATTTAAGAGATTACATGATCCCTTGGTATGTAGAATATCCTGCCTATTAGTATTTGAACTACACTGGCAGAGTGTAGAGCTCAGTATACCAAGCTCAGAACACAGTTAAAAATGCTACAGGCATATGGATTAGGTATCAGACTTCCCAATGTTCAGAATCTGCATTCATATACTTCTCCAGTGAAGGAAGGCTGAGGTTCAAGTCACCAACGAATTTGTGACTGACTAATAGTGAACCAAATGTCCTGCAAGCATAAGCTGACATCTGCAACAATACCATCAATATCCAACACATTTGGCAGAGAGGAGGCTGCCTTGTGGGGGCAGCTCAGAATGAGCAGAACTCTCCTATGATTCATTGATACCTGGAAGCTTCAGCCATTTGGGTATTTTCCCAGGGGCTTTTCTAAACACTTGCAGAGCTCCCTGAGTGCTGGATGCTTCTAGCTGCCCAATGGTCTCTTTGTCACTTCCCACTTCTGGTTCAGATAAGGATGGAGCCACTGACGCTAAAGCTGATGAAGCAGAAGGAACTAATGATCTGGACAAACATCAGAGAAAGGAAATAAGCAAGTAGAATTAAGCTTCATTTTTCATAATAGCCCCCTGTACCACCACCACCTTTAAACTTTTAAAGTTAGATTGAAAAAGCTCTTCTCCTCCCATGACAGAGGCACTAGTATTAAGTAAGTCACTGAAATCCTACTTTGCAAAGCTATGAAGTAGAGTATGACAGTATGACTGTTTCTGGACAGAAGGAATCCTAGTATTTTCAAAGCACTTTTCGTTGTAGTAAGATGGGCTCATTTAATGTTTCCCATTCCTGAAATACTATGGCATTTGCAACTCTACTCAACTCCAACATACCTGGCTACTAATAAATCAGCTGCAGAAGGAGAAACTGCAGAGCTCAGCAGGTCTGATTTCAGGTAACAAGCTGTTTAGAAATGAAACCAAATCACTTATTTGGTAACACAGATACATCAATCACCACAGTATCACATAGCTCTCCACTCAAAAATATCTGCTGTATACTACAGTAAATCTACCTCATCTTCCTCCAAATGACACAGGACATTACTAAACCATACCAGTTTCTTTCACGACTCAGAGGTGTTCTATTTCATCATTCAAACCTCAAGACCTTAACATTTTCTTTCAGTGCTCACCTCAGGAACTTTTCTGTGGAGACACAGCATACTTTGGTCCCTGGGAGAAACAGGAATTCTAAGCATAAACCAGAGATGCCAAAGAACCTAAGATTCAGATCTGTTCTACCATCTCCAGCCAGTCCACTACCACAGGAGCTCTGCAAAAGCATTTCTTAGACATTTGTCTGGTTAACATTTTGAACAACATGATTTTTTTTCCTAGGAGTCATTCTTCCATCATTCTTGATCCCATGACAGACAATGCCTACTCCCCAGCCTATCAAATCCCATAATAGAGGTACAGTGTCTACATCTGTGTTCAAACTAACTGACCAAAGCAGCTCTGCAGAGCTTTTGCCAGCCAGAACGGGGACATTCACCAAACAATCTCAAGGACTGCAGTTCCTTTTGACAGAAGAACTCTGACAGTAAGGATACAATACTGAGTCTACTGCAGGAACTATACAGTCAACTGAATGAGAAATTAAATGCACTCACCCCTGCACTCCTCCGATCCAAAATGAATGACAGCAGTTGGGAAAAGTTTAGCCTGCAACAAAAGGGGAAAAGAAAGTATCACTGTCTGTAGATGCTTTCACAGTTCCCTGTGAACATTAGAGACAGGTTAGACAGCTACAGACAAATTCACAGAGTTCAAACCAGGTCACTAACCATCTGTAAGTCAGAAAAACTTAATCTTCTACAGAGCACAGGCCATTCAGAGTAAGACATGAAGGAAAATTTTATGATCTGATTTACTAAATAGGTGATGAGACCCCTACAGCAAGTGCTTACTGCAGGAATGCCCTGTCATTCCTTCTCCTCTGTCCCCGTATCTAAGGCCATAATATTGCACCCAGATTCTCCACTGCTGAGCAGATAACATTAATATGATGAAGAATCTTCTGAGTGGATGACACCAAGAGAAGAAAAATCCAGCTATGCCCTTCCAAACTCTATTCTAAATAATTTTATTACATTTACACCCTGTCCATAGTTGAAATGTATCTAGTTTCACCACCTTTCCAGGATTAAGTATTTCCTTTTATAAATCCAACCTGAATTCCTAGTTCCTACTTAGCAGAATAATTGCCATATTCAAACATTTTTTTTGTATCCAGTGGGTTTGTGGTTATTTTTTTTCCTTTTATTTCAACGGAAGTCCTTGTAATTTGTGTCCATTTCCTCTTGTCCTTTTACAGGGCATTGCTAAGAACTCTGGACCATATTCCTTGCTACTTCACATCTCTTTTACTACACACATTGACAAGACCCCATAGAGCTTCTTTTTTTCCAGGCTGAACAACCTCGACTCTACCTCTCCCCATATATCAGATGCAGGTAACTCCAGTATCTTTTGGTCCTTTTCTGGGCACCAGAGAAACTGTGAAACTGGACTCATACATCCCCTGTTCAACTAAGGAATCACAAATTCACCTGTAGGTATAAAGGAGGGACCTACCTATGGAGGTTGTTCTGCCACTGACAGTGACCCCAAGTGTCACATCGCCTCTTCAAAAAAACTCAGCAATACTTTACAAAACACCATACCACCACATCGCGTGGTGAATCCAAGTGTTCCCAAGGGAAACACAGAGCAAGAGAGCCAAAGTTATTAAATTTCACTCTAAAAACAGACACTACTGCAAGCTCAGGCTTAGATTTTTAAAAGGGTATGATATGCAGAAGATTAATATGATATGGCATAAACAGCTGTTCCAGAAAGGACTCTGGAAAAACAACCACTATATTTATTACATGCATTATATGCCAGTATAATACCACATAAAGAATAACTAGCTGAAACAATTCTATTAAGCTTTTAGGAAGCCTTGTACTAAGAGACAGGTAAAGAAACTAAATCATCATGGTGTAAAAGAGGCAAGTTCCACTATAGCCAGAAACCATACAGCAAATGTTAATTAATGGCCTACATTTTCCCTGGCAAAACGGTAACATTAAACTTGTCACACTGATCCAATAAATAAATAACTAGATAAAAGCAAGTCACTGCCCCACTTGGTATCACTCATATGTACTGGGGAACTGTGCAGGGCAAACTGATTGCTCTGGAGTTTTCTTGAGCCTCTGTTGCCACCATCAGCCCAAGCTGGATACTGGAATGATGGTCCTTGGACCCAATCCAGTGCAGCAATTACCAGAACTCAAAAGAACCCTGATCTTCACAGAGGAGGCTGTGGACTGCTGCTAATATCGAGACTAATAAAATTCCATTAACATAAGGCAGAATGAAATAGCTTCACCTCTCTTCCTGCCTACAAGCTTCAGATGAGCATATGGTATTATGCATTTTTTGTCATTAATCCAGAGGCCACAGGAGACTGTGTCATGCAGCTCAGTCAACATCATGCTAGGCTGAAACAGGAGACATTTATCACTCTGCTCCAAGACTCAGCTCCTGCAAAAGCATCCAGGCAAATTCACATCCTTGAACATTTTAGCAAAATAATTATTTAGTAGGTCTTTTAACATTTCATTCCTCCATCAACAGGGCCTAAGGTTGCCTTCTCCAGTCACAAAGACAGCTCTCCATAAACTTTTTTAATTACAAAGTACCAGACATGGTTTAGAAATCCCAGAAAAAACTCTCAAAAGAGCTTTGATGTTTCTACAGCATTCGTCTATTTAGGAAATGGGTGCCTTAAAAAAGCCCCCCCCCCCAACAGACATACACTCAAGCCCTTTTACACACAACATCCTTTTCATGCCAGCTGCAAGTTGGAAAATGAGGTTTTTGTAGTGTGTTAGTGTTGGAATTTTTTAATAACCTCCCCTCTCTTTTTTTGCCTCCCGACCAATTATCTTGGTAAATAATTAACATTCTGAAGGAGATAAGTAAGCACAGAAACTCAGAACTCAAAGCCCTTTAGTTCAAAGCCCTGCCCTTTTCTCTTCATTTCCCTGCTGCTGCCACTGAAACTTCCTTGTCAATCAAGCTCTGGGCACACACATCAAAGCTTTATGTGGGAATGGCCCCAAGGGGTCAGAGAAAATTCATGGCAAAGCCTGTGTGAGGCACAAAGAGAGAAAGAGAGTGAGAAATACAGACCAACAGTTAGACAGACTCACTCAACAAACAAACATATAGACAGACTGTGCCCCAATATAAACCTCTAGCCTATTTACTCACAGGTCGTGAAATAATCATAGTTCACAGTTTCAGGATCCACGTCCACAACTATTTCCTACTGCTGGCAAAACATCAGCTCAAATGTTTCAGTTCAAATTCTTAATTGAAAGAAACTTAAAGGAGCTAGAGAGCAGCCCTGCAGTACACAGAATACAACGTCCTTCCCATGGCTCCTTTCCCTGCATCTCTATCCTTTCCTAGGGGTCAGCCAACATGGAGTCTTCCTCTTTCCAAACCTCCATCCAATAAGGCTTTTCTCTCTAATCCAAACAGACTATTGGCTCATGCATAGAACCTTTGGTCTAGCTTCCTTTGTGTGAAATTGTCAGGTACCACCCCAATCCCAACACTCCCTGAGGGTGCAGCATAGAAGGCAGCCAGCTACACCTCACCTGGGAATTCTCTAGCCAGTCACTGGCAGGACCTAACGCTGTCCCAGAGTTTTTTATAATCGGAAGTATTTAAATCAGCAACATTTTCACACAAAAAAGTAAAAGCAGGCCAGTAGAATGATCCCACTGTCCAAGGACTGTCTCAGCATAAAGATGAGAAGGTTTTAGTGGATTCTGTCCATGAAAACATACGAGCCCAAGGTCAAAGCCCTTAACATTCTCTAACACACTTATGAATGTAACGATCAACCACTGGGCAGACCATCACCTGAAAACTGTATCCTCAAGTCAGCTGTTCTAATGTTTGCAGTTGTTCTAATGCATCTGACAATGTTTCTAGAACAACTCTGCAGTTCTTCACTGCATAGGGTTCTTGCAAGAACATCTATGAATCAGAACAGATTTTGAGAACTCTTAGGAGCCTTCCAGGTTAACCAAAAGAATCAAAGGATGTTCAAAACAAGTAACTCAAAAACCTCCACTCACTTATATGCAAAGAATTACTACAATAGGACTGAGCCAACAGTCAGTTACTACACTCCAACACCCAGTATTTCTTTTCCTTGCCGCTTTCATTTCCAGCCAAAAAACTGCCATTCTGACTGGGGAAATAGATGCTATTAATCTATTGAAACATAATGTTCAAATAACACTATCCAAGATGTATTTACAACATAGTCAGATTTACTGCACCAATACCTAAAAATCCAACTGAAAACAGTGTCCCATTGGGTAATTATATAGATGCGATGTAAATAAAAATACTTTTGAGTTTGTGGGGTTTTTTTATTTTTGTGGGCTTCCTGGTTTCGTTTCTGTTTTTTGGGGCTTTTCTTTTTTATAGAGATGAAAAACTGAGACCTAAAGAGATAACTTAGTCAAGGTCACACAGGATGGCAGCAGCAGCAATGAGAACTAAGCATGCAAGTCTCAAGAGTCCCATCCAAGATCATAATCACAGGACAGCTTTCTTCTGAAGGGATTAGAAAGTCGCTGAGGCAAGGAGAAAAGGAAGACAATGTTCTGTTTATTACCCTTCTCACTTAATAAGTATCATTCCAAATTACCATCTCCTCAGATTTTAAATATATGTAACACAGCTTTATCCACGTGCTTAATTACAGTTGCAGAGGTTTAAATGAACACTTGCCATTTCAGAGATCTGAAGACCAGCCTGTTTCTTGTAAAGCCATATTTAGTCTGAAACTATACAGCTGAGTAACTCCATTTTTACTCAGAGAAATAGTGAACAGTTACTCAAACACTGCAGTGGTGAGCGTGGTTTGTGACAGCATGGCAACCCGGCTGTGGAGTGGCACACTGGGGCTGCTGCATCTCACATTCCATGATAAAAATACCCACTTCAGAACAACAGTCTCTGGTGAATCCAGCTGTGATACAGCAGAGAGACATTGCTGCTTTGTTTTACTGCATGTTTCAGTAACTTGTTCTCTAGAACACAGAAAATATTTCAGGCAGAACCCTCCCCAAGTAACATCTCAATCTTTCCTGTTTCTCAAATATACATACACAAAAAAATCCTAAAACAGAGCATTGCAGATGTTGTACATTATTCTATTCTCAGGAAGCTGTTCTCTTCCCTGACAGCAATGCTGTCAGACCAGGCAGAGGCTGCTGCTGAAGGGAACTTGCAGCTGCCAGAAGGAGCAACATTCTTTCCATTACACAATCTGAGAAGATCAGAGTGCCACAGGTCTGCTGTTAGACTAATGTTAGGAAGATGAATAAGAAAATAAGCACTTCAAAGGAACATGAGCATGGAAGGAGAAACCCAAGATACCAACATGAAATACTGCATAGTACACACACCCCAAACACATAAACTAGGTCTTGGAAAATTCAACTGGCAAGCTGGTGGATCAAAAGTTTCTCCAGCAAGACTGCACAGCATTGCTGAGACAGAAATAAACACCACAGTCATGGTGAAAGAGACAGATCAAGCAGTTCAAGTTTATAACCTGAGAACGAAGCTGCCCAATGTGGACA